AACCCATTGCACCACCTGAGGGTACAGGAGAAGATGCTCTTGAGTTCAAGATCACATGAACAGTGAGTAGAGATGGTTATGCCTGGCAAAATCAGTTATCAGGAGTAGAAAACAGATAATAAGTATTTAGGCATGCCCTTGACATCATTTGTGAAATGTACATTGTGGCACTGACAAAATCATATGGCTCATCACAGTCAATACGATCAAAAAACGATGTGGGCAAATGAAGTCAAGTAGAATGATGGCAAAGAAGAGAGAAAACAAAAAATGTGATAAGGAGTTCAGAAAACTCCAAAGCAAGCAGGGCATTTCAGCATTTATTAAACAAGCTAAGCAGTTTCATTTCAGCTCTATAACCATCGAATGCTCAGCTACCGTCTTTGACTCATTCTTGCCTATTTATACACAGATCAGGCTTGCAATACGCCAGGCCTAATCACTGTATATATGCTGTTCAACATTTTGCCTGCCCCAATAAAATGTGCCCAATTTTTCAATGCATAATAGCCTAGGGGGGTTGTGAAAAAAAGCTCTGAAGTTATTTCCCAGGTTATGATGTTCTTTGATGTTACGGTAACACTTCTGAATAAGTAAATATTTGCACGAGAACCAAGTTACAGTGACAACCTCACTCTCCAAAAGATAAATCCAGAGTTGGTTTCAAGGCAGCCAGTATTGCTGCCATCATTTATCCATCAAAATTAAATCCACGTGTGGGTGAAAAACCAAGCTTTACGGGAAAGATTTTACCTCCTCCAGATACATTTTATGGATATGCTAAATGTTCAATGTAGCTCGTATACCCAGGACGTAGCCTCGCGGAATGATCTTAATTCCACATGGCAGATGGCTCTGCTCTACAGTTTCATAGGCCCCTTTGGAGGCTTCTAACAACCATCAAATACTACATAAGACACCAGACTTTCCAAAATACTTTAACCGTTCCATATCGACTCCCCACATCTTCCGAATCCTGCGTTCTTTGCAATTAAAACATCAGCAATTTGTTACCTTATTTCATGTCTTACTGTATCTTTCAAATACTATGTTTCTAAATTTAAAATACTGTATCCCAGCTATTTGTACCTTAAAAATAAACATCAAATACCTTTCTAGACCTCTGCCTGATAGAAGCCACATCCATATTACTCAAAGTGGCTGATGCGACAGAAGCAATGGAAGCACTGGGTTTGTGCAGCCACCCAGAACAAGAAGAGGGCTCCTACAGAAGCAGTCAGAGGATCCACCTTCCCAGAGGTGGGTTGCTGTTGTTTACTGGGCGGTTGCAAGGAGGTTGCTGAGGTGCAAATTCACCAGCAGGAGTGCTAAATAAGCTCTGCCAATGCATTCCCATCGCACTGAGCTCCCTGCCACCAACCCCTCCACTTCCAGGTGAGCAACAGTGACCCACCTGCTGAGAAGCTAATGAAGCAGCTCATTACCCAGCTAGCCTCTTCTAGAAGTGATAGTACTGCTGCCCAGTCAGTTCTTACCATTGTTCCCAGTTACTCTCTTGGCAAATGCCAAGAGAAATGGAACCAGAATGGGGCCGCAAAGGAAGAGATGCACCTGCGCCCTTGGGGAATCCTGTAGTAAAAACAGTGTTGGGGGGAAAAAACCCTATGTTATGACCTTCCCCTGAATCAGGCTCCTCCAACTCCCTCATCTTCTCCCACCTTCTCATCTGACCGCCCACTACATTCCATCTCCATGGGACTCATGTGGAGCCTCTGTGCTCTGTGACATCACTTCAGATCAGCCAATCAGTGCCAGATTCTTCAACAGGTGCATAGTGTGATACAGATTGCCTTTCAGCTTATATCACAGGGACCCAACACCTTCCCCCGAGAGTAGCTTTCAGCTCCCTTATTGTGAAACCAGTTGAGAAGCTCCACTTTCCTATGATCTATCAGGAATTTGTAACCGGCTGCCACCAGGAGAGGAGTAGGATTTGGTACAACCCACTTGTTTATGTCTCTGCTAAAGGTAAAGGTAAAGGGAACCCTGACCATTAGGTCCAGTCATGGCCGACTCTGGGGTTGCGGCGCTCACCTCGTTTATTGGCTGAGGGAGCCGGCGTACAGCTTCCGGGTCATGTGACCAGCATGACTAAGCCGCTTCTGGCGAACCAGAGCAGCGCACGGAAACGCCGTGGAGCTGGAGCAGTACCTATTTATCTACTTGCACTTTGACATGCTTTTGAACTCCTAGGTTGGCAGGAACTGGGACCGAGCAATGGGAGCTCAGCCCATCGCGGGGATTCGAACCGCCGACCTTCTGATCGGCAAGTCCAAGGCTCTGTGGTTTAACCCTTGCTATGTCTCTCCTAAGGCCACATCTATTTCCAGCCACATTCTTTGTTCCGGGATTAATGTTTTTTTTCTTTAAAAAATATTTTTATACATTCATACCTTGGATCCCAAACTCCTTGGTACTCGGACGTTTTGGCTCCCGAACTCTGCAAACCCAGAAGTGATTGTTCCAGTTTGTGAACGTTTTTTGGAAGCCGCACATCTGACGGGGCTTTTGTGGCTTCTGATTGGCTGCAGGAGCTTTGGTTTCCCAATGTTTTGGAAGTCAAATGGACTTCCAGAGTGGATTCCGTTTGACTTCCAAGGTACAACTGCATACTGCTATTCATTTAAAAAGTCAAAATGGTTTATGATAGCACATAAAACTATACAATTCAAACCATATAAGAAGTTAAAAAGGGAGACCAGTGAACTATTGTGAAAATATGTATTCTTAATTGCCTGCGTAGGCCTGAAGGAAGAGAGAAGTTTTCAACAAGCATTTAAAAGCTGAAACAGAAAGCACCTGCTGAATCTCTATTGCTAGAGTGTCCCACGATATTGGACAAATGAAACTAAAGTCTCTGCTTCCTGTTGTTATGAGATGAGTCTCACCAAGTTGGGGAATGACCAGTGCTACTCCTGCAGATGCTATCAGTGATTGAGCTGGAATATAAGGCTTCAGGTCGCTAGGGTAGCTTGGACGTAAGTTGTTCAGGGCTTTGTAAATTAACCCTGTAAGATGTAATTCACTAGCACTTGAATGGTGACAGGTTCCTTGTCCATCATTTAGAAAGCATCAAAGTTTCCCATTGCTTCAGCCTCAAAGAACCTGGACAGTTGTAGTTCTCCAATGAAGTTAAGGTTCTCAAATGGACCATTTTTAGAGACCCCCTGCCCTACCCACCTGCCCCATACACCAAAGAGTCCCAGGGTTAGTTATGGAAGCATTACGCAAACCCAGTTTAAAATTTGTACTGTAGGTGTTTCAAAGGGGATTAATAAAAAAAAAAACTTGCCAGCAACAGCTCACAAACGGTTTACAATGGAAATTGAAGCACCTGGATCCTTGACCCCTGGATTATTTATATTACTATGTTCTCTATGATCAAGACCTGCTGATTATTGCTATCTATATCAAAATGACATCATAAAACCTTTTCTGATTCAAATGAGATTTGGGTGGATTTAAATCAAAGCTCCTCACTTCAAACCCTTCTCGAGTGCAAAAAGGAGTTATTGATTCCCATAAACCAGGGCATCACTTCTACATCCCTTAAATTCTGGTGGCATAGGGAGACTGTGCGCGGGCTGCTTCTCCAGTCTGAGTCACTGCCAGGAAATCTTTGAAATAACACTGTTTTCGCAAAGGGGAAAATCTATTTCAAAATAATAGCAAGACAAAATATTAGTGATCCACTCCTTGGAGTTTTGGAGATTAGAAAACCTCTTGCCCTTTAAATTCCAGCTTTCAAAGAACACTATGGAGAATTGCTTGAGCTCTTAGCTCCTCTATCTGTTTGGCTTTGCTCTAGTGGCGAGAGCATCGAGTGCGCGGCTGAGTGCCAGGCTGAATGCCTTTAAATAGAAGAAGCCAGACAGACGTTTTGGGCTGGCTCCAAGATTTTGAAGGCCCACAAGCAAGACCCAACAGCAAGTGGGCAGGACGTGTTAAGCAAAGAACTGCTTTTATGACTGTCCACTGTCTCCTCCTCCAGCCCTCCCTCATACATTTACCCAGATTTCTTCAGCCCCTGCACCCTGCCCTAGGGATGGGCAGATCCTCAAAGTAGAGCTTGGAGACAGCAGCTATTTCTGATACTGGGTTACTGATTAAATGTTGAACAAAATGGTTCCTTTGGTGGTAGCAGCTAGAAGCTGAATGTTACCAGAATGTTTGCTTTAACTTCTTTTATGTTGCTCCTCTTCTAAGATGTTGAGTAGTTTTCCCTGGGGAAGAACAGAAAATGTACTCGGAATGTGTCAGTAAATCTGACAACTTTGTAAACAAATCCTCTTGCAGAAATTGGTTTGGCCGTTTGTTTGTTTTTCTTCCACGTGGTACAGCCCTCCTTCTGTGTGCACCAAAACACAATAGACACAAGCCCATCTCAGGTTAGCACACACAAAAATGCCAGGCTGCCTTAATAGCATTGCTTCCACAAACCCTTTCAGTTCACATATGTATGCTAAATAGGACTGGGTGAATTTAATGATAGAAAGTGCTGCCCAGAACAGGACAGGAACATATGGAACTGCCTTCTGATAGGCTAATTCATTGGCCCACCCACCCAAGAATTGTCTATAATTGGCATTTGGTCTCCATTTTGTGTGTGCAGGAATCTCTTAACTGGAGAGGTCAGGAGAGTGAGCCTGAGATCTTATGTATGCAAATAATGTTCTCTACTCCTGAGCTATGGTCCCCTTTCCTTCTTGAACATGGGGAATGTTCTTCTGATGTTCGGGAAGAGGAAATGACAGACCCTATAGCCTGAGTTATAGGGTGACATAGAGGGTGAAGCTTCTAGCAAAGGGTTTAGGCTTGAATGTGGGATGGATGAACCGGAAACAGCAGCTGATTGGGATGTGAGGATTGCGGTCCATATAAAGGCATTGTTGCCTCATCCAACAGAGGTAAATGCTAATACAACAGGTGATCTATACATGTCCCCAGAGCTGAAAAGGCTTGAGCCTGGATATAATAATGCCTTGATAGCTCAGTTGGTTAGAGTGTGGCACTGATAATACCAAGATTGTAGGTTCAATCCCCACATAGGACAGCTACATATTCCTGCATTGCTGGGGGTTGGACAGATGATCCTCAGGATCCCTTCCAACTCCACAATTCTATGATTCTATGAGCCAAGGCTAGACTAGACTTCTTTGTCCATGACACAGATACACAGCATGTGTGTACCTATTTGCACATGTATTTATTTCTATTGGGTTGGAGCCCATGTTTGTGGTTAGAAGGCTTCTGAGTGACTTATCAAGCTACCATGTGAGATGATTGGCTAGACATCACGCACTAGGGAACCAAAAGTTCTAAGATGGAATTATTCATGGAGCCAAGACACATGGGCCATTCTAGACTACTGAGCCCCAAACTACATATTACAGTTATTCATTCATGGCTATATTTCTTTAGAAGAAAAAGCACCTGTGGGACCTCAATCCAGATCAAGGCCCACACCAGCTTTCTGCCAACCCTTTCTCCACCATCCTGAAGGCATGCATTAATGCAAACAGCACCTTCAGAGTCAAATAGCAGACAGGGAAGAAGTGATTTTCAGCTGTAAATTGGTGCAGGGCCCTGATCCATATTGGAAACCCATTCTGGATTAGGACCCAGCCCATATGCCGGCCAGGGTGGATGGGAGTTGTGGTCCAAAACATCTGGAGGGGACAAGTTTGGCAAAAACTGATAGCGAATCAAACTTTAAAAGGTGGGTTCTGTTTCAGTTCAGGTTCATGAGTATATAACTATCCAGTCTGGTTCTGGTTTAGACATATGTACCAGCTTTAAGAAACTGGACTTGTGTGGATGGTGCCTTTATGTAGCTTAGTTGCTAGGTGGCATTGGACTTATTTCATCTGGCTGGAAGATTTCTATTCCATTCCATTCTGCTAAGGGAAACAATGAAATTTCCATCTAGCTTCCTGACTAGTGTGTCCTCTAAGCCTTCCATGGCAAAATTGGAACCAATTTGGACTGTAAATAGAATCATTAAATAAATAAATAAACTTTTACAGTCACAGTTTAACTCCTAGAAAATGAATGCATGGAAAATATTTAATTTGAGAAACGCAGTGGTACCTCAGGTTAAGAACTTAATTTGTTCTGGAGGTCCGTTCTTAACCTGAAAATGTTCTTAACCTGAGGTACCACTTTAGCTAATGTGGCCTCCCACTGCCGCCGCCACACTATTTCTGTTCTCATCCTGAAGCAAAGTTCTTAACCCGAGGTACTATTTCTGGGTTAGTGGAGTCTGTAACCTGAAGCGTCTGTAACCTGAGGTACCACTGTAGGTATTTTTATTTTTATTTACCTGCAATTTACATACACTACTGCTATATCCTCCTGAACTTTCTCAGTTGTATTTGACAATTTAGTAGATTGAATGAATTTTAGTCCCAAATTGTTCCTTTCTATATCAACTAGCAACACAGTTTTAGCTCATAAATGCCATTATATAAATCTGTGCAGGCAATTCTTATGTTCTTATTTTCACTTTTACAGACATGAAGCTCATTGATAAAGTAATCCAGGTAAGAACCAATACATTTATGGGCCTCTCTTTGTTATTCTCAGCCCTCTGGGGATTAGTTTGAAGTAGTAATCTGAAAAATCAATCACACCCCATACATCATTTGAAATATAAGCTTCGAGAATTTTCAAACTATAGTTTCGTTAGATTAGCTTATTCTTTGTCTTCAGCTGAGCAAAGCAATTTGTATTTGGGATCAAAGTAAATGCCAGAGTCATGAAAATTACCAAGCTCTCTGGCTCCTGTCTGACTCTGCTGCTGCAGTGATTACCTATGAAATACAGCATCTTTTGCCTTTCTACAACTGGAGTATTGGGGGAGAGGGGACAAGCTCCTTCTGCTCACGCTTAAAAGAATCTCTTGGATTTCTGCTCAGAGAAAGTGGTTATATTGTTTGATATTTATGGGTGCAGATCAGTTTCAAGGCAGTCAAGAAATTTTACAACTGGGTTTGTCCTGTTCTGATGATTTTGGTCAAGTCCCCTCCCCCACCCCAATTCCCCCAAAATTGTGAAATTTCTGAAAATTGGGGGCAGGCAGGAGAACTTTGGTAAAATGTTCAGGAATATATTGGCAGCTTACATCACATTCAGAACAGCAAAATTCATTGCAGTACCTTTGAAAAAGCTCTCAACATTGAATGGATCTAGGTAAGGGTCTTCATATCCAGCTAGGGATGTTCATTCTGCACCCTCTGAGCTTGAGCAGGTGTAAACCAGACTGATGCATCCTCTATATTTTACTTATTCTTATTCTCTGAATTAATGCTTCATGTGGAACTAAATTGCCATTTTGATAGTGTTAGCAGCTTTGAGTTTGCTTTCAGAATGAAAGGTAGGTTGTAAATTGAATGAATAAATAATGAAAACTAAGCAAGGCAGACATCATGTCGTCTCAAATATATCAGTAAATAATCATCACCTTAAACATTGCACCAGACCTTATTCTCAAAAGAAAGCTGAACTAAATATCTAGGCCACTTGACAAAACTGTACCTCAACCAGGAATAAAGAGTAAAGGCACAGGTACTGGGTTAACTGAGGGCCACAACTTTTATTTCACATTTATAGCCATCAATCTGCAGCAAGAGCCTGAAAGTTGTGAAGCAACAGGATAGTCTTTCTACCTCCTTGGAACCGGAATATTCTGGATAAGGCATCCTGACCCAAATACAAGCAGTAGACATCTCTGCTTGTGTCTGCCTGGCCACCTCTTGGGTGAAAGAGGCTCTTGCCCTGACATCATTGCATTTACTAGATTGTTGTTGCTTAGTCGTTTAGTCATGTCCGACTCTTCGTGACCCCATGGACCAGAGCACACCAGGCACTCCTGTCTTCCACTGCCTCCCAGAGTTTCATCAAATTCATGTTGGTCGCTTCTATAACACTGTCCAACCATCTTGTACTCTGTCATTCCCTTCTCCTTGTGCCCTCAATCTTTCCCAACACCAGAGGTTTTTTTCCAGAGAGTCTTCTCTTCTCATTAAGTGGCCAAACTATTTGAGCCTCAGCTTCAGGATCTGTCCTTCCAGTGAGCACTCAGGGTTGATTTCCTTCAGAATGGATAGGTTTGGTCTTTTTGCAGTCCATGGGACTCTCAAGAGTCTCCTCCAGCACCACAATTCAAAAGCATCAATTCTTCAGCGATAAGCCTTCTTTATGGTCCAGTTCTCACTTCCATACATCACTACTGGGAAAACCATAGCTTTAACTATACGGATCTTTGTCGACAAAGTGATGTTTCTGCTTTTTGAGATGCTGTCTAGGTTTGTCATCGCTTTTCTCCCAAGAAGCAGGAGTCATTTAATTTTGTGACTGCTGTCACCATCTGCTGTGATCATGGAGCCCAGGAAGGTAAAATCTATTTACTAGATAGGGAAAGGGTATTTGTGCAAGAAATCAGCACCCCTTCTTGATGTAATGTCATTGGCTAGAGTAACCAACCAGTCAGCACTTTGCTGGTCTATCCAACAGGTTTGGAGAACTGGATCCTTATCTTTCTCATCCTCCCTTCCCAAACCAAGCTTGACATGGGTGGGGCAGCCACCTGTCAATCACCTGACATCACAATGATGCAGTTTTTGCCTATGCAGTTTGAAATCAAGTTGTCTAGGTAATGGCACAGCACTTTGCAAACCCTGATGATCAGCTGATAGTCACTGCTTGCAAAGCACCCTGCAGAAGGCTTTTTGGGTGCTGGTGAATGGCAGTGCCATAAACCACCTTTTGGCCCAGCCATTTTTACCTGTCCTACATCTGATGCCATATAGGATGTTTGGTGTAGGGCAGATTGGCCCAAACAGCCTCATGAGACAAATGGAGAGGCTGGCAGGCCTAATTAGCACTCTGGCATAGCTAAGATTGTGTTCCGACATATATCCACAATTGAGGTCTGAAAAACCAGTAAGCTCAATCTTCTGACAAACCAGATTCATCTGGCTCCCCTGACCTGCCAGATCCTCTCTGGTTCTGGCAGGTTCTGACATGGCTTCAGAGCCCTGGACTCCACATCCTTGTTCCTCCTGGCAGGAGAAGGTAAGTTCTGAAATCACAAGTTGACAAATGTTTTAAAATGCCTTATGAATTTGTAATCCACCACGGCATGATGTGACTTCACTTATGAACTGATTCCTCTGTGGTAGTCAGTTGCCTCCAAACTGTCACACAGACTTCATGTAAAGGATATAAAAAGGAAGTTACTGTCCTAGCCTTCTGCACAATAGCCACACTCAGCAGAATTAGAGCACATTAAGGTTTCATTAATAACATGGCTTGCTGAAGTCAAGAAGCTGGCTGCATTAAAGAAATATAATTAGCTCTAAAAGCATAATAGCGTAAAAGTCATCAGTAGGCTCCTTGGCCCTCAGTGTACAAACAAATGTGTTGTTTTCTTAAAGAGCTATTTAAGAGGCTATTGGCTCTACAAATGATACCATTAGTTGGGAGTGTCTGCAAGATGCCAAACCAAAACACAACTGCAAGAACAGCCAGAAAAGTTATTTATCGTTCTTTGGTTACTTAGCGGAAACATGGTCTTGCATACAAAGAGCTGCATTAAAAGCTCATTGGGGGGTCCCAACAAAAGTGCTGAAAGCTGGCCTCAATTCTTCCCTCATGGTGTACCTCCATGGCCTTCTCTTGCAGTGTTGAAGAAAAGGATCCATGCCACAAGACATGTGCTGCCCCAGTCTTGTGACCCTACATTAGAACAAAGATGACTACCATGATTGTAACAACTATTGTGGAATCTCCCTGCTGACTAAAGTGGGGGAAATCTTTGCCTGTGTATTTCTCAAAAGATTACAGTTCCTCATTAGCAGAGTCTCTCCCAAGCTTTAGAGCTCAGAGGTCAACATGACATGATTTTCTTTAATATGATATTTTATTTGCCACTCCCTCCCTTCCCTGGCCTGTGGTTCAAGTGGAGGTAGCCAACCTCTATATATCTGGTGTCATTATGGAACATGTGTCACATTTGTTCTCTTTTGAAAGAGGGAGAAAACTCAGCAACTG